CAAACCATCCAGCACTAGCATGGAACTCCTTTGTCTCGTCTTTGAACTTCTTTTAAGATTGAAAAGAGACTTAATGCTTTTTCTTTTATGAGATCAGTGCTTAAAGGAATTTTTTTCTGGTTACAGTCCTCTATCCAGATAGTTAGCAATCTTTCTAATTCAATCATGATGACATTTTGATTTCGAGTGGTATGCACTCATGATAAGTTTCATTTTGTATTCATCAGATTTACCTAAAATTGCTCTTACTGTTGACTCACCTAGTTTGTGCTCTAGGCCTATTTTTGATTTCGAGACACCATCTTCACTTTTTCTTATGATTTCTATTTTTTCTTCTAAAGAAATAACTTTTCAAGTTTTCCTTACAATTTCACTTTCATCTTCACTAAGTCTTTTGCTCATGTTTAGGAAAAGGTAGGCCGTTAAAATGTCTAAGGTAAAAAAAATTGTCAAAAAATTATTTCAGAGATGCACAAATGGCTTGAGTAGGTAGGCTAATAGCAGACAACTCATTACTTAGATGATGTAATAAGTAGTGTCCACCCCGAGGCAATAATTTTTTACCCCGGGGAAGGGTTCCCCGTGAAAAAAATATTTAACCCGGGGTGCAGCCCGGGGTAAAAAATATTTGAAATAAAAGATACTTGATTAAGATTTTTATTGATTTATAAATCGTATTTAAAAAAGTATCGAACAAATAACAAGGCTGACAAAGTTTTATCACTTTTTTGTTCAAGCTTGTCGTAAAAGTAAACAGATCTGGAAAATCTCAGTATAAAAAAATACATGTTACAGAATTTAAGTCTAATCATACGTCACTTTCAAAATACCTCTATAAGATGTCTTTTTATTAAGTTTAAAGCATTAAAATAAAAAAATTCTTAAGTGAGCTCAAATCTGATGTGAATTAGAGCGATTAAAGAAAATTAAAAAAAGCAATTAAACTCATAGCCAACGATTTCTTCAGATCTTTCTTCTCTCAAAATATTTCTCTTTCATTTTCCAAATTCCTTTCACCAGCCC